TAGTTTCATCATTAACACCATCGGTTTCATCAATTAATACAGAACCATCAATATCATTTTTTCGAAAATTATCACTATATTGTTGTAATGATAGATCACTTAACCATTTTGTAACATCATCAACAGTCCAATTTGATGGATAATCAAGATCAGATTGTTCCATAGATATTTGTTTATAATCAAATGATGACATTAACATTGAATTATTACTATTGATGGAAACAGTATCATCATCTGGATAATGTCTAATATAAATAATAATATTTTATAAGTTGATTTGATTTATTTCCTTACCGAATACAATAAAGAGTATGATTGTCACCATCTCTCATTTTTGCATTATCTGAATTTAACTGTATATTACAAGTTTTACAACGGAAACATGCTTTGTGCCATGCCTGTTAAGAAAAAAAAACAGAATTAAAGTTGCACATGATTCACAGATGTTCTCCTTGTAGAAGAGAAGTATGTGGTATTGAAGTGCTCATATTTCCTTTGTACGAGAGAGAAAAAGAACATCTCGACGAATGTTTTCAATACATTAAGAACAATTGAATTTCATGTCTTGTTAAAAACTAACATTGAATGTTTCAAAGAAAAATACTCTTAGTTCAGCCATATATATACATACAAGAGTCCTTCAGTAAAAACCTTTATACCTTTATTTGATTACTTACTTGACGAGAAAAATTGATTTTTTCTGATAATCCAAGAGCATTTGAACACGTTGGACATAATAAATTAGTTGACGTTGCCAACATTTTAGATATGGAATATGAAATTAATGAAATTATACTTGTGTCTATTGATCAATTCTACTTATTTGAATGAGCAAATTGAAAAAGATGAAATATTTAATGCTTCTTTTTTTTTTTGATATATAACGATAAGAAAAGAGAAAAAATTCAATACTTTTGATTTTTTTTTTCGCAACCATATAACCGAAGAAAAAAAAATACAAATAGTTCTATTGTTTTCTTTTTGAAATTCAGAAATTTTTCTTCTTATTTGTATAGTATTGTCTAGAAAAACATATTGAAATCGTAATTGTCAAGGTCAATAGAAATGAAACTTCAGTAAAAATCATTTTAAAAATAAATCAAAAACTTACATTGACTGCAATAAACTAAATAATTCATGGTATTTGCATGTTTATTTTTTATTTCATAACATATCTATCTAACAGAATTTTATTACAGAAATAAAAACACTATGAAGGTGATATAAACAAGTCATCAACGAAAGAATAACAGATGTGAATCGCTCAGATGAATTTACTTTGTATGTCATCACTACGATTATTTTTATCCAAAAGTGTTATTTTATGATTTATTCAATCCGATGAATGTTGATTGCAATTAAACTAAGAACCTTAAAGAATATGCAAAGGAAAATCGTATTTTTTGACTAACTCCGCCTCCTCGTTCCAAACGTCCGATAGAGTCCGTGCAATCCACAATTTGCGAATGCAGATCTGGTTAACGGAAAAATTGCAGAGTCCTTACTCCTTCGTTTTTATGATATAATAATTCATTAAATTAATATAAAAAAACAAAACACATATTTCATAAAGCAACAAACAAAAAAGAGCTTATTTCAAAATTTTTGTGCTTTAAATACATTCTCGCCCAAAATAATAATCTACTCATGTAGCATTATCTTCAATTATTTTAATAGTCTCAGTCGAGAGTTGTGTGAAAAAAAATGAAAATATTTATAGTAAGAATCTAGACGTTCATAAGTGATTGATTCTCTTCTTGTTTTGCCTGGACATCCTCTATAGATGACTCTTCATTAGAATTCAAAAAAACAAAAGAATCGATATTTTTATTAAAAATCTGTAAAAAAGAGAAAAAAGTATATTTGAAGATAGGGACTACCTAATAGATCTTTACATATTTTATTTATGAATTTTAGATTGACGAAAAAAATTGATAATTTTATTTATTCTCGATAGACTCTAAATAACTATTTTCATATAGATAGTTTTTCCTAATGACTGTTTGAAGTTTATCAATAGAGAAAATCTTATTATTATTATTATTATTTTTTTGAACGAATATTCGTTATTATTAAGAAAAGATGTTTTCTTATAAATACAACGTAAACTAAAGATTAATGCAGAATAATTTTATTATTTTTATTTCCTTGAAATTATTTTTAATTCTATTGCTGGATGATTATTATGTTCAAATATCGACGTTTCATCTGGATATGAAATCATAGATCACCATAGAAAAATTCATCGAGGCCACATTGAATATATTTTTATCTTATGACGATAAATATGGATATAGTCATTCATAATTGAACAATTTGAAAAAAAAAGTATTATTTTACAAAAAAATAATCATCTATTCTTTGTTCGTTGCTTATTTTCATTGATAAGACAATGGAATATAGGAGATAATAGAAATTTCTCTGAGCATGCTTTTAACTCCCTTTGCATTTTTCTCTTTATACTTCCATTATCATTCTTCGTTGTGTTTCTAATCTCATATGTCGTTCGATGGCGTCATTCAGTGTATAGAACATTTTTTTACTTGTCTCTCTTCCTCTTGGTTTTTTTTCTCATTCTATAGCATATGCATCGAAGCATTTTTTCTATTTTCGCTGGTTTTTGATTAAACCATATGGAAAAATGTCTTTTTATTGCCATAAATTTAGTTATATCGATCGAGTTAGTATATTAAATATTTTATTAGAATCTTAAAAAAGTTGTTTTTTTCTTGACAAATTTCTTTTCTGTAACTGTTGCAAGTTTCACTGGAAGACCTTGTGTCATTTGTGTTTACAGTTCGATCGTAAATTAGTTGTTTGGTCTTCAATTTAAGTTACAGAATAGTTTATTTAATTATTTCTTCTATAACGAATTTTTATTATTTGATTATCGTACTTGCATATTTGCTAGAGAACATTATAGATTATAGTGTAGTACATCATGACTTACGGATCATGGAACTGGATTTATCAAAAAAAATTGAAAGAAATTGAGTACTTTAATTAGTCAACGAAGAAATATTGTTCTTGTTATTGATATTTAACGAAAATTATATTATTTTATTGTTTTTTTTTCTATCTGTATTGATATCAACATTTTCATCATTGTTTTTGTCGATCTCTTCCGTAATTCTTTGCATTCTTAGTGTGATGTATATGTTTCTTTGACAAAGAATCATTATTTATAAACTGCTCCATATTTCTGAGTAAGAATAATTTTTTTTAACCATCTCATCTGATTGTCGTCAGAGTCACTATCACCATTAGTAACTATTCAGTTGGTGAATCAATATTTACTTCCTTGATAACTACGCAAAATAGAACTATTAATTAATTTTCTATTAGCAAGTGATAGTTACTATATATAACTAAATATTCAAACGAGAAAAATATGAGAAACAGCTCACAGTTATGTAAACAAAAATCAAGATACGAAATACATGATGGATGCATAAAATTAGTCATGATTTCTATTTGGTAATAACTTTCATCTTTTAAAATAATGTTAATTGCTGTGAGTCAAGCATTCTTCTTCCTTTTTTATTGCTGTATTCTCCCCCTACCCCACTCCAACGACGTTAAAGAGACAACTCATTCATTATAAAAATTCAAGTAAGAGAGAAAGCTACAAACAGACTAAATTTCCTCAGGCAACATCAGGTTACGTGTTGAAGATTTTTTTACACATATGATCATAGTGTTATTTTGATTTCAGCGATGACATATTAGACTGTTTCAATTGATTATTCAATCTTTTCGTTGTATCAACAAATAAAAAGTAGTACTCATATGGAATAGGTAGAGTCCTTGATTCACGAAAGATTACAAACAATTACAGAATATTATTTTTTAAAAGACTATTGATGCTGCTTCGATAGTCATAAAATTTGGATTCCATAGTTTTTGTCTTACTTTGAGTGAATTGAATTTTTTGACCTGTGGTCTCAAACTTTCCTTTCAACGCTTTGCTAGTCGAGCATAATAAATATTTTTTATTATAGAGAAAAAAAAGTAATAAACAGTGAAACTGAAAAGACGATAAATTTCAACCTAAATTTAAGATCAAAGGGTTATAGTCACTGATTAGCAAACTATCTGAACTGATACCTGATGTTTGAGTTCCTATTCAGTTTACAAGGACATCTTGGCAAGACTAGAAAAATCTTAAAAGTATTCGTACTCATGAACCTCTAAAGGCGATTAATAAACTTTTTACTGAATTGTCGATTCAACTTTAGTTATTTATCGAAATATCAAATAAGGATATTTCAATCTCAAATTTTGCTCTTAGACAGGTCGAATGACTGATAGAATATTCTGAAGCTTTCAGCTGAAAAGAACATTTCTTTGTCAATATATTGAATTTTCAAAGAAACAAAATTTTTGCAGCAAACGATCAATATTTTTCGAAATTCGATATCTGAACAAAGGAACATTCTTTTCCGTTGAAAATTTCAGAATATTCTACTAGTTTTTTGTTTTGTCTATGAATAGAATTTCAGATCGAACGATCAGCATTCGATTTTTCAGTAAATATTAAAAACTAGATTGAAAATTCAATAAAACATTCATAACTCGCCTCTGGAGGTCCCTAGACATAATCTCTTTTTGGATTCATCTAGTACTAATGAGACCTCTTTGTCAATCTAATACGAGCCCCAACGACATTCGAAAACACCGATTAAAACCAAACTCAAAACTTGAATCGAGAAGAAGCATTAGTAAGTCAACTATTGCACTTTGTGCATTCAACCGTCTCTCAGTCAACAAGCCAATACAGGACGCGAAAAAAATTTGTCAGACAAGATTCTACAATGAATCATTGATTTGTACACGCGACCGTCCCGGTAGTCTCTACGTGTGATAAATATAGTTGAAATTAAAATTGTTTCATTACCGCCCATGTTATGATAATGTAGAAAAAATATTTATTGATGCATATCAAATAAAATATGATGTTCTATTTTATTAATAGACTGATTGATTAATTTTTATCAAAAATGACAAGTTCTCCTGCACCAAAATATCAAAACATGGAAAATGAAAAAAAGAATTCCATTGATGATCAAAGTATACATGGTCAAGATAATCCAGTATTTTCAACAGATGATATTAATGTTGCTATTAAACAATTTAATAAACCTTCAAAGTATAAAAATAATTTACATGTAACATTTCGTAAAGATAGTTTAACAGTTGATATTAATCCACATCGTAATTCTTCAGAATCATCAGATGATAATCAAAATGAACAATCATCATATGAAGAAGTAGCTGCCAATGTTTCGAATAAAGATGATTCAAATATGTTAGTTTTAACATTTCGTTCATGGTTTTTGGGACTTGCATTTACTTGTATTTTATCATTTGTCAATCAATTTTTTTTCTATAGAACATCACCATTAATTATTGGTGTACTTGTTGCTCAATTACTTTCACATCTACTTGGTAAACTCATGGAAAAAATATTACCACGTAGAAAATTTAAAATTTTTCGATGGAATTTTACTTTTAATCCAGGTCCATTTACTGTTAAAGAACATTGTATTATTACAACAATGGCTGCTACTGGAGCTGTGAGTTGTTTACATATATATATATTAAATAGAAAACAAAAGAACTTTTTTTATTTTATTTAACTTAAATAGGGTACAGCTTATGCAATTGATGTCATTACTATTCAAAGATTATTTTATAAACGAACAATAAATACTGCGATTGGCATTATTTTTGTTATAACATCTCAAGTTCTAGGATATGGGATGGCTGGTATAATGAGAAAATTTCTTGTTTGGCCAGCAGCTATGATATGGCCAGCAAATCTTGTTAATTGTGCACTTTTTCGAACTTTACATAATGATAAAGACAATGGTGATGATAATGAAAAATCACGTTGGAAAATGTCTCGTTTAAAATTTTTCTTCTTAGCATTTCTTTTTCAATTTTTATGGTATTGGTTTCCTGGTTATATTTTTCCAGTTTTATCACTTTTCTCTTGGATCTGTATGATTAAACCTAATAATGTTATTCTTTCACAACTTACTGGTATTAATGGATTAGGTATTGGTTCAATTGAATTAGATTGGAATGCATGGGTATCATTTCTTGGTTCACCTATTGTTGTACCATTTTGGTAAGAAATAATGATATCATATCATATCATATCATATTCGTGTTTGATTATTCAATATAGGGCTCAAGTTAATATTCTCGTTGGTTTTGTTGTCTTAGCATGGATAATAGCACCAGCAACATATTATAGCAATCTATGGAATTCAAAAGCTTTACCAATTGTTAGTGTTCGAGTGTTTACTGCGGATGGATATCTTTATAATATTTCTGCTGTACTCAATTCAAACCTTCGTTTAAATGAAACTGCCTATAAACAATATGGTATGTCACTAATGATTAGATATACGATATCTCACAGCTCAATGATTTGAAAGAGTTGAATCATACTATTGGTAATCAGCTTTTTTCTATAACAACCTGTCTGATAGCCAATTCCTTTTATGTGAGCTGGGTTAATGAAAAGCAAGTTTATCCTATCCAATGAGTTTGTGTCGCGTAAGATGATTGAAGAATATTCTTAACTGATCAATCACTATTGAGTTCGAACTCAGTGCATAATCTAAAGTGCAGTGAGATATGAAAAACTCTAAAAGCTAAGTACTCTTAGGCCTTCCATCGATAGCTATAGTCATTTTGCTAGAATTTTAGTCTCTGGAATGTTATATACCAACAAATCAAAGGACAAACACTTCAATCTGAGGTTTTGATCACAGACAGGTCTAGTAGCCATTAGAATGCATTAAAAATTCCAGCCCAAAATAATGCTACCATTCCAAGATGTTTAACTTCCAAAAAAATAGAATACTGTACCAGCTGTCGGAGAATATGAGTGATTTTTGAGACTTGGATGTTTTGGGAAGGATATATTCTTTTTAGCGGAAATTTTCAGATCATTCTACTGACAAATAGTTCTGTTCGCGATCGAATTACTGTCATTCGATTTCTTGATATGTACCAAGCCAAAGACTGAAATTTTAGTAAGACGCCTATATCTTCGAATAGAAGGTGTAAGAATATTTTCCCGTTTTAGATTTTTTATATCTCACCCGACTTTATCTTTTGTACTGAGTCCAAATTTCAAATCGATTGACTGATTGAAAAAGTTCGTTCGTAAGTTGTGCGCATGAGTTAAAGTGGCTCTATCACAGATATGTTAAAGAGGATTAAATCAAGCTTTCAACAGTTCAAATGCATACAATAAGAGTTGGATGGTCGTGATATGGAGCCTGTCGCACACCCAATTTTCATTATCATTATAAATATACATGTATAACCTATGATACAGAAGTCTTTGCAGAGAATATTCACTTCTTTTTCTTTCACTTCAACGCAGATAGTTAGAAGCATTTTTTTTTTGCTCGTTTCGAATATGTGTTTAGAATATTCTTTTGAAGTAAGATTGGACATTTATCATTAGATTGTTTCAAAATGTTCCAAATAGTGGTGTAAGTACAGAATACTAATTTGATCAATTTTTTGTTTTGATTAAAATCTACCATATGCATAATGAGAGAATACTTTATATTAAGACTTCTGCACTATTGCTTATATATATATTTTCTAGGTGAAATTCGAATGACACCAATTTTTGCTTTTGCTTATGGTATATCATTTGCTGCAATTGCTGCAGTTATTGTTCACACTGTACTTTATCAAGGTAAGCATCTATTTAAATGGATAATATGAATATGATCTTTGATCTATTATGAAAAACAAAAAAAACAGGTAAAACAATTATAAAACAATTTCGCTCATCTTTAAAAGACAATAATGGAGATATTCATGCTAAACTTATGTCTCATTATGAAGAAGCTCCGGAATGGTGGTATGTATTTTAAATTATTTATGACATGTAATTTATTTGGATATTCTATTAGGTATACTATTCTGTTTGGTGTGGCATTTATTTTAGCAGCTATTGTTTGTCATTATGGTGGATTAATGCCATGGTATTATCTTTTTGGTAAGTTTATATATACTAAACGTATGATTGTATTTGACAATTTTATATAGTTGCTGTTGCTATTGCATTTATTTTTCTCTTACCGACGGGTATTGTTCAAGCTGTAACAAATCAATCAATTGGTAAGGGGGAAAAAAACAAATATTATTTTCTATTTAATAAATGAATCTATATTAAGGACTTAATGTTATTACTGAATTCGTAGCTGGTGTAGCAATGCCTGGTGATCCATTGGCAAATGTTACATTTAAAACATATGGATATATTACTCAATATCAATCATTATTACTTATATCTGATTTAAAACTAGGTCATTATATGAAAGTAATATTTATCACTATTGATTAGTGTATTTTATGATTCTCAGATGACCTTTTTTTTAGATTCCTCCTCGTGCAATGTTTATTACTCAATTAACGGGTACAATTATTGCTGGAATAATAAATTTTTTTACAGCGAATTATTTAATGAATACTATTCCAAATATTTGTACTCAAGACAATCCAAGTTGGACATGTCCAAATGCTAATACATTTTTTAGTGCATCGATTATTTGGGGAGCTATTGGTGTGTAAAAATTTAATTTCTTTTTTTTTTGTAATAGAATAAAAAAATATTTTCTCTTAGGTCCAATAAAAATGTTTGGTAAAGGAGCAACTTATTCTTGTCTTCTTTATGGTTTTCTTATTGGTGCTGTTCTTCCAATATTAGGATGGCTTCTCGTGAAAAAATTTCCTAATATTACATGGTTAAAACATATTCATTTTCCTATTATGTTATCAGCTACAGCAATAATGCCACCTGCTCCACCAGGTAATTATCCATCATGGTTATTAGTTGGTTTTATATTTAATTTTATTCTTGCACGTTATGCACATACATGGTGGAAACGATATGCATATGTATTTTCAGCTGCTATGGATAGTGGTGTTGCTATTGGTGTACTTATTATTTTTTTTGCATTACAAAATAATCAAATAGAATTTCCAACATGGTGGGGAACTGGTGGAGAAACAGGAGATGGTTGTCCACTTTCACATGCAAATTATTATGGAGTTATGCCAAGACATCGACCAATTATAAATACTAAATAAATTCATTTATTTATTTTCTTTTTCTGTACAAAATATTTATTGTAACTAGAAAATCTATTCTCAATAGGAATTATTGTTTATTCCAATGATAAAAATTCATTAATTTCTCTCTCATCATCGTATCTGTAACCTATACCACTATCCACCTTGAGACATCATTTATTTCATTATTTTTCTTGTTTCGACATGTTTCCTTCTGCCTTTCAACGGTTAATCGTTCCTTGAACAAAAAAATCTATATAAAATAAACAATTAGAACAGTTTCATTTTGTTTGAATAGTTTGAAATATAAATAATAAAACTTATTTTTAGTATTTATTTTCATGTTAAATATCATGTGATTCAAATAGAACAAAAACCCACGAGTATACCGACAATTAAATGACCATAGTTTGATACTAAAACAGTCCTAACAGACATGCAATATAGGATCTTTAATTTAGTTAATCTTGATGTTTTTTTTAAAATTTCAAATCAAATGATATAAATGAAGTTTTTTTTAAGACTTTAAACGAATGTTAAAGACTTTTTTAAATTTGATTTCACTGATTAGTCTCTCTAATATGCTTATGGTTTGGTCAGATATATTAGTTTTACTTCAATTGCTGTACAATAGTTTCGATGATTCCTATAACCATATCGTTTAAAATACGAGGATTAACCAACTTGAAAAGCCTTGTTTTTTTGTTGAATAGGTAAAAGTAACTTATATCCAATGATATTGAAGTAATCACGAAAGGAAGAACATGGAAAATATTTTTGAAATCATATGTTTTTAATAGATAGCACTAAATAATTACCTAGTTGTCTTTGAAGCTTTGAATAATCACTGAAAACATGTTATCTATATATTAAATATTATTCAACTATTCACACAATAAGATTTACAATAGATACATATATTAACTTTATTCTCGATTGTTCGTCGAATAATGACAACACAATCCATTTTGCACTCTATCACCTGTATATCGATAAGCTATCATAGAACATTTGACACTTATATTAAACACTAATAATCCTCTTCGTCAATAGACATTAAAACAGTAGAAAGATAGAATATCTTGTGTTAAGTTTCATTATTTCAAAATTATCATTTCTTTACGTTCTATATTTTCGAAACAAAATCAAATGTTCCTTTTTTTTGCCAATCGATAGCTTATGAAGTTTATCAGGAAACATGTATTTTGAAGCTTTAGAATATTATGCATTGTTTAGTTTTCGTAATCTCTCTACAAATAAACTTCCTAATGCTCAAATCTGTTTGTAATTCAAATATTCAAAATTTTCACTTTCATTTTCTTTCAATTTCCTAGATCTAAAATTATTTCAACTTAGCCAAAGAAAAAAGAATGAAATCAATAACACATCAAGTATCTTATATTTACAAACCACAATATATATATATATGTATAATAAACAATATCATTCAAACAAAGAAATTAAACTGCAAAAGAAGACGTGTTTGTTGACTTAACATTGAAACGCAAACAACAACAGAATAATATACATAGACATAGAGTTAAGCTCTGAGTTTGAACTTGTATTTTCTCTTATGACAATATAATGTATAATATGTACAAAACACAAAAAAAAAGAAAGAAAGAAAGAAAGAAAGAAAAAAAATTAATCTAATATAGGAGATGCTTCAGAAAGTGATGATGGTGATATTGCTTTTGTTATTTCACCTGGTGATGGATTACTTTTTCCTGGTGATGAATTAGGTAGTGAAGATAATAATCTATTATTTGTACTTAATGTTGGTGAAAGAGATATATCATTTTCATTATGTAATGATAAATGTTTATTAGTATTAATTGTTTCATTAGATAGAGATTTTTCATTATTATTTATTGGTCGATTAATTGTACCATTTGTTGATAAATGACTATTTTCATCATCAGATATAATCATAGATTTTCGATCTTTAATATCATCTTCATCAAATTCATCATCATTATCATCATTTGTTAATAAACTTCTTCCTTTTATTTCATCTATTTTATATAAGTTTCGAAATTTTTTTTCAACATATTTTTGAATTAAATCAGCTTGTTCTAATGAACAATAACCATCATCAACACATCTAAATACATATAATTAAAATATTAAATGGTAGACTCATAGAAAACATATTCATCTTTCAGACATTTTCTTTATGATAGCAAAAAATAATGACAGGAACACTAAAAACTATCGTATAGAAGATTCGAGAAAGTTTTCTTAATAGATGCAAATAAGAACAAATTGATGTCTATGTTATAAATTATTTTAATGCCTTGAGAATACAAATTATGACTGAATATCACTAACAATTATCCGAAATATCTAGTTATACAATTATAAGTAAAGTTCTAATTTATATTGATTCGTGATGAACAGATAAAAGTTGATTTCCATTGTTAGAACTTAGCAAAAGAAAAATATGAATTTTGGTTTTTTTAGCTGACACTTAAATAAATTTAATTAGCTCATAACTCTCTAAACATCTGATGAACAGATTCAAGATATTTTAAAATAGACTTCATGTTAGTCACCATATCTATGATAAAATTTTCAATAAGATAGGACTTTAAGAACTAGTATTCGAGAGCTCCACTCATGTCTTAGATTGATGCTTTTTGTTTTACTATCATCTCGAGAGTCTCATAAAGAATGTGCAACATTTAGAATTGATTTTTGAATTTCTTATTCAGCTATAAGATTTTGCTCTATTTAGTCTTTGATAGGTGTAAATTATAGTAGAATTTCAATAAGATCTCTTCATCTCGGATTTAGATAGATAAGAGAACCTTTCGTTTCTTCATTTAAATAAGTGCTACGCTATATTTTATTTTCAGCGATCAAGTTTCAGTCTCTCAGAATCGTAGAAAGATGAAGTATGATCCTAAATCTATAAGCGAATAAGATCTGAATATATCAAATAAATCCATGATTTTATTAAGTATGATTATCATATGGATCATGAATTGAAAACAGAAAGTGATCTGACGAGGGAACCTCTCCAAGTGCTAATCGTCGATCGAGCTCATATTTTGCCCATAAGTAAGACTCGATGAGACTAGCAGAAGCCTAGACAGATCGTTCCCATACTCTGTTCTTCCGGAATTACGACCATTTTACTGGTTTTTTTCGACCTCTGGCAATGGTATTTATAGGGAAGCTGAACAATAAAATTTTGATCTGAAATTTTGTCCATAAACAGGTCTCGTGATTACTAGAATGTCCTGAAAGTTTCAGCTAGAATGAAAGTTTCTTTCTCAAAATATTGAGTTTCCAAGAAGCTCGATCTTTTTACCTTTGTCTTTGAAATATGATCGTTCCCTGAAAAAGAAACGTTCATTGTAGCTGAAACTTTTAGGACATTCTAGTGACCATGAGACCTATTTATGAACAAAATTTCAGATCAAAATTCCATAGTTGGGCTTTCCGATAAATCCTATGACCAGAGATCGAAAAACCAGTAAAACGGTCGTAACTCCGAAATGACAGCGTATGGGGACGAATCCTTCTAGGCTTCTGCTAGTCTCATTGAGTCTTACTTATGAACAAAATATGAGCTCGATCGGCGATTAACACTTGGAGAGGTTCCCTTGTGAGACATGATGTCATCTGACGGATGATATTCGATCTGGGGAAACATAAAAGGTTACCGCTTGTAGTATATCGAAATCAATTGATCTTAAATGTAATAATGAAAGATATGGTTTGAGTTACAGATCTGGTAAGTCGTGTTTCATCTTCTGTAGACTGAAATACTATCATTCGATTTGTCAAGTTATACCGTATTAGAGACTAACATTCAATTAAAATGTCTATAACTGTGAACAGAAGATCGAATGAGCTTTATCCTTATGTAGTTCTTTATATCTCACTGGAGTCTATCTTATGTATTGGATTTAGACGCGAAAGCTATTGGTCAATTGAAAATGTTTTCTCGCAAATGATCAGATGGAATTTAATTAATATTCTCATTGTTTTTCCTCAATTAATTCTCATAATATAAAAATATTAATAATTTACCTTGAAATAGTAATAAGAATAGGATTTTTTTTAATCGATTGTAAAATTTTAGCCATAGCTTCATGTAAATAAATAATCATTTCTTCTGAAGAAACATGTAATGGTGGTCTTGTATCTGATAAATGCATTCCATATTTATGAATAGCTTTCCAATCTAATTTTTTATAACGTATAATTGCAATTAATGCTGATAAATACGGATTACTACAATAGAATTAAAATTCAATGTCAATAATAATTTAAATACAACAACAACAACAAAAAAAAAAGAAAGAAAATATACTCAATAAGTATTGGTTGATCCAATTTTGGTTCAGTTAAATATTCATTCATACATGTACGAATTTGTTCTAATGCATTTTCACGTGTTGTTATATATCGTTGAATTTCAATATCTGTACGATCTTGTACAATACGTGTATAAACATAACGAAGAATTTCATATTCATTTTCATCTAATTGTTTACGTATAAAATCATCTGTTGAAAAAAATGATAAATTAACATCAATCATAAATTGTCTTGTTTCAAGTAATTGATCAATTATAGTTGCATCCAATGGATATATTCGTTGTATAATTTGATTATCTTTATGATTATTGTCATTTGTAGATAATTTTGGTTTTTTTCGATTATCAGCATCAAGACTTTCACTACCACTTTCATTATCATATATTGATGGATGAATTTTTTCTATAGTTGTTGAATAATTTTTTGCTAAACCAGCTGTTGATACATAAACATCAACTGTATGAATATTTGAAAGTTTATCAACGGATGAATAAACACAATTAGAAGTAAAATATGGATTCGTTGAAGTTACTCTATAAATATATAAGTTGATTTACAAAGTTTGACTTATCCGAAATAGAAAAAAACCTATCCTAGGACAAGTCTAAAAGAAATCTATAAAAAGATACAGTATGGAATCGATCATAGAGTTTAAAATTCACAAAATGATTGTGCAACTACCTAGATTTATGTGAAACTATCAAAATTATCCATTGATAGTAAATCATACATTTCAAGTACATCAAACGACAGTCAAATTTCTGAATAGTGAGCTAGGTAGTTGTCGTCAGCCTAGTTCCATCCATTCAATGATGAACTATATAACAAGATTTATAGGAAAATCCTGAAAGTTACTTTGCAGTATCTGAATAAGGGTAGTAATATATGAATGAAGCAAGATAGTGCTTTATTTCAAAATAGAATTGCACTCGGAAGAACACCTCACCCATCGGCTATCTGATGGTACATGACTCTTTATGAAGACAGTTTTGTTAGCTCGATATTTTCCCTACAATGATTATTAGCTGTAACTTGGAACAGAATGTCGATCTAACTCTGAGTTCTTTAAACACATTGGCTAAACCATATACTAATTATAAGAATTGATTTCTATCATTATACACTGAGCATGCTGTTCAGAAGTGTAGAAGCTGCTGCTGAAACGAAAACATTTTTCCTAGTATTCAAATAAAGGAAAAGCTGAATTCTCTTTTTCATTCGTACATTCGAAGAAAGTGAAACCAAAATTGATTTACTTAATGCATAAGAAGGTCATATAAAAACCTAATCTTCATTAATCATCAAGTACTCGCAATATCTATTAAAATTCCTCAATTGAAAAATTTTCTTTTTAAGCCAATAGTTTTTCAAAATTTTTCCTAACTTATGTTAGCAAACTACTCTAGAACATATTTCAAGTTTTATCTCATTTATATAAGTGTTAAAATCTTCTGTTTTCTTTTTGAATATAAATATTTGAATACACATACTTTAATACACCTGTTTGTTGACATTTACCAACTTGTAATTGATATTTTCCATCTTGAAATTGATGAGCCCAAGGTGGTTTAAACCAAAAGATTTTTGTTATATATCCTCGATAAACAGCTGGAAGTATCCAAGATTGATTCGTAATCGAACTAAATAAACAATATTTTGTTCGTTAATCATTCTTCAGCGAAAAAACAAAAATAGTTTTTTTTTTTTGTTTTGCTTTCAACATACGTAACAAGATGATTTAATGTTTCAATTTCATCAGCTTGAACATCCTTGGGTACAAGAAGATCAGCATAACTATCAAATCGAAGTAATGCAACATCTTCTCCTGATTTTAAATTTACTCCAATGTCACGAATAATTATTGGAAAAACCTTTAAATAAAAAAAAAAAATATTTATCATGAAACAATGATAATTTAATTTTTGATCTTACTTCATTATTATGTTCAACAATTTCAATTTTTAACTTATCTTTAATCGCGACCATTGCATTTCTTAACAATCGAATATAATCTAAAAGTCGAAAAGAAACAGAAAACTTTATTAAATTAATAGTAGAACTTTCAAAAACAGAAAAAGATGCAGTTTTTTTTTATTATAGTTTTTTTTTTTTTTTGGTTTAAAATCCAACAGTTTCATTAATTAAAGCACGTTCAAGAATCACTCGTCCTTCTTTATATCGTTGTGATTCTTCAGTTGCAAATTCATACATCCAACCTAATTTTGTATCACATTTTTTACAACTAATATCTCGAACAAAATGTCGACCAGTTAACATTAACTAATCAAACGAAAAAAAAAAAAAGACATCCTTTTTTAATTAATATATTAAGAAAAAAATATTTTGGTTCTCACCCGTTCTTGTACAGCACTTTGTTTCGTATTAACAATCCGACTAAATAAAAAAGCTCGACCAGTCGCACCAGTAAATCGTGTTGACACTAATTCGTTACGATTTGTTAAAGGTGTATCACAATGAGCACATGAAAATATTCGTTGACCACCAAGATGTTCAAGAAAAATACGTCCCATATCTAGAATAAATTAAATGCATTTAATAATGGTTTTATATTATAAGGAAATAAAGATTTTTCATATGAATTTTTTAATTGTTGATGAAATTGATTCATTATTAATATTATTTGATTATAAAGATTATCTCCTGCTTGAAATTTTAATTCATTATGATTTAAAGATAAATATTTAATTAAACGAAGAATAAATATTAAAAATTTTTCACCAGTTTCTGGTGTTAATAACCAATTTATCATTGTATCTATATCATAATTAATATATTTTAATAAATCAATAAATATATTTGATATATTAAATATACAAGAAAGATTTTTTTTAAGATTTATTTGAAATAAAATATAACATAAATCAATAATTTCATCATCATCAAAATCATTTAATTTTAAATATTCATATAATGTATTATTATTATATATTTTATTAATTAATAATTGAAATTCAATATCAGAATTAATTAAAACTAAATTTTCTAATATAATTATTATTGATATATCATATTGATAATAATTATTAAGAAGATTTTCTTTTAATGGAAAAATTTTATTAAGAAATTTTTCATCAATTTTATTTATTATTAAATAAAGTAGACGAATATATTTATATTTAAGATAAGAATCTAATGTTATTAATAAAATATTTGATAAATAATGTTGAAATGATAAATTAATAAGTTTATCTGGATAGAGATAAATACATTGTTTAAGAATTAAGAATAATCCATGATTTATTTCAATATTTTCATTTAATATATGTTGAATAAATTCATAAAGAAGTTTATTTGAACATATTAAATGAGAATTTATACGAATAGTTTTAAGATATCTACCAAATGCCATTAACCAACTAATATCATAATTTTGATTTTGACAATTTGATTTAATTATAGATAAATCATTTGTTGAAATAAATAGTTCATAAAGTCTATTCTCACGATCAAATTCTATACGACGTAATGATATTTCATTCATTATAATGACAAGCAAAATATACAATTATCAGATAATTTTTGTTTCTGTCAAATTTAGATTTGCGAGAGAAAAAAAAAGAATATTAGAACGTAAGAAAGAGAAAAATAAACAAATAATTAACAATGGTCTTCTTCATGACCAATTGATAACATCGATTAACTAGATGTCTCTAGTTGAAGATTATGTCAATCAATATGAGTTTTGTTTCATGTAGAAACGAATTCGATCAGTAGCGAGTCTACAACAGAGGTTCATAGTTTCCCTTGTTGTTTTTTTTTCATCAGCATATTTCATTTATTTTCAAACATATTAGAAATTACAAAATTTTCTGCATTTTATGATATATTCACTCTTGAACACAGTATAAAGTTTAAACGGCATAAAAGCTGTACATGGAAAAAATAACGGAACATTTTTCATTGTCTGCAGTTTACATTTAAATATGGATCATAATAAAAGAAATTTATAAGTTTATCATCACAGATGAGTTGATGCTATGCGTAAACTAGGATAGGTGTGGATGATTCTGATCAACTGCGTCCCAGCTCAAATTCACACATCTATACTTTAGGCTCCTACTATATAGATTATCTTAAGTAAACTTTGCTGATGTTTATTGCTATGTTTTACTTCAGAAAAATAAGGTATACAGAGATGCACAACTGTGACATGGTCCATTTTTTCATATAAAAACTCTCCAAATCATATCGAGTTTTATTGAAGCTAATATTAATCTAAGAAGATCCTTAGAAAAATTACTAATATCGAAATTTACTTTAATTTGACGTTGAACTTGTCTATCTTTGTGTCATAGATTTTCTTGAAATTTACAGTTGAAAATTTTAATACAAAACTTTATCACGCTTCTTTGTGGAGACTTTCAAGATTACTTAAACTCCTAATTCTGAAAGTTTAAAAACGATTAGATCTCAATAAGTATAGCAAAATTTCTGCTAGATCAACGATTCTCAGAACACAATTCCCTAAACATTGAATTGTTGGATAAGGAATGTCAAATTATTTAAAGTTCTATGAAAAAAACCATGTTTTCTCACGTCACACAGTTTTTGTGATATTTGTCGAAATTCACTGGTACAATATTCTTCAATCAAAAGAAAAACATGCATCCTAATCTGTTCGAAGATATCGTAGAAAAAATTTTAGTCTTATGGGTTGTCGAAGGTAAGAGAACAATTTCAGCATTTCTATGAAAAAATTGGTTTCAAAAAAAGCAAATGTATGCTTTTCATTTTCTTTTATAGCATATCTTATTGTATTTTTTAAGTTTATTTAGCGCACAAAACTGTGTGTCTATTTTTTAAATGAGCTCACCAATTAGAGGACTCATTAAGTTATGTAATCACTGTTGAAAACCAAACACGAAACATCTTAAGTATTGGAGTCGTGAAAAGGTGAAAAATGGTTTAAAAATCAAAGTTCAAAAAGTAGTAAATAATAAAAATTAAAGATGTGAAGAAAGATGGTTTGTTATTTCTCTGGAGTATGCAAAGAATTCAAGTTAGTAACATTACGATCAAGCCATAGAAATTCATTAAATTTTATGCGTCCACCACTACCATCATCGATCTTATATTTGCATTCTTACTCACGAAAGCCTCCTTGAAACTAATCAAGTTTTTTAAAAAATAATTCTATATTTTTTTATTGTAAAAATGTATTTGATTTATTTACATATTACTCGATTTTTTTTTCATCATAATAAATGACTGGCGGTATGAAACGATAGATTGAGATCCCAATGAAGTTGAGTTTCAAGTGAAATTTTCCAATAGTCGTTGATTAATAATCAACACTTCATTTTTGAGATTCTTGAATGAAAGATTCGATCTGCATGAATATTTTGAAAATTTTTAAATAATACTATCATGATCAAAAAGGCAAAATATCACATTCTCGATTATTGCACTTCAGCTGAGTTACATCTCGCTAATCACAATAGAATCGTTACGATATTAAATAATAAAAATATCGCTTCGATTCTTCAAGTAGTTACAGCGACCTATTTAATTCAACTTATAATGTGATGATTTTTTTTTTCACCTAAACCAGTACAATTTCTTCATTGAAATATATTATAAAACTAATTAAGTTATATATATACGTCCGGAAAAAAATAATTGCATATTTTAGTAGTGCTCAAAGTTTCTTTTTTTATTATTATTCTGCGTATTTATATTGTAATTTCTACTTATGCACTACGAAAATGAATTGAATGAAATGAAAACATCCAACAGATGCTGAATTCATTTTGTCATCATTATGAAAATAAGTTTTTCTAAGTTTTCATTGTTATAGAAGAATTTTTCTGAAGAGTAATAATATATTCTGATGCATTTTGAAATTCTCTATTATTCTATATATTTACTTATTGTTTTGCATTTATCTACTGCAACAGATATATGTGCAAATAAATGTTAAATAAACAGAATGATGGAGAATTTACAAGTGCTTTTAACAACATATTTTTCTCTTGAACTACTAATTTCAATAAGAATGCTAATTTTTGACTATTTTCTGGAGTAAAACAATCAAAAGAATAGTATTAAAATGATGAAACGAACAAAAAAATTAATATATTTCAAATTCATCAATCAAAATAGATAATTTGATTAATTTCATTGTATGATTTTGATTAAAAATGACATTGACTACATTTATTTAATTAAAATATCGTTTTTCATCAATGAATTTCAAAAAATATCAAGTTTTTTGTTCTTTTCATCATCAGAAATATCATTTTCTTTTGATGTTTTTACTATTAAATTCACAAAAGTCATATTTCTTTTTTAATTTTTTTTGACCTTATAGAATGTATTCGCTGCACTCAAATTATTTTTCAATAAATAAATGCAAGACAACAAGTCAATATATTAGGATGATAGAGAATTTCAAGCTGTGTTTTTTTTATATAAAACGGTTATTCTATATTGATGAAAAATTTTAAAAACCTAAGTTTTACGATAATTAGAAAAATGAAACTGGTGCGAATCTATACATAGAGGTTACTTTCATTATATTCAATTTATTTCGATAGTATATAAGTGTAAATTACAACATAAATACAAAGTACAATAGAAAACTTTGTGTGTTTTTACAATATATAATTCTTTGTTCTTTTTTTTTTTATAGTGACAATATATTTAAAATATAGAGTACAGTAATTTTGTTTTGCTTGGCATATATACATTTATGAATATTTTAAATTAAGCCAAAAAAAAAAACACATAAAGCATATCCATTTATTTGCAATTCAATAAAAACAAAATAAATAAATCTGATTTTTATCAAAAGAAAAAAAACTGTATAAATAGTCTACAATTGTATTATTCTTCTTGTACCAATTGTGGAACTTCTATTATAGACGTTTGAAATGATGGATGTCGATATTCTGCAATAGGTAAAAGTGAACTATTTCGACTTGATGTTCCATGTTGATGTAAACTACTCCATGGAAATATACGAC